GGTGTTGATATGAAGGACCTCACGTGGTCATGGAGATACTGGGTGGTGTGGTGTTCGCGGGTTACAAATTGTTCCATACCGATAGGCAGACCAGAAAAGGAGGCGGAGTAGCAATCTATGTCTGGGATAATCTGAAGTGTGAAATAAATAAGGAAATAAAAACTGAGCGGAATACAGAAACAATTTGGATAGAATTAATCGACGGTAGGGAAAAATTAATCACAGGAGTAATATAAAGACCTCCCAATCTTGATGGAGTTAATGAACGACTTATCTGGGATGAAATGCGCAGGGCTTCCATACACAAAAAAGTCTGTATAGTAGGCGACTTTAACCTTGGCCAAATAGATTGGACTGACCTTACAGGTAACTCAGAATCAGAGGATTTTCTCGAAACGATCCAGGACTGTTTCCTAAGTCAACATATAACCGAACCCACCCGGGGTAATAATATACTCGATTTAGTTCTGTCGAACAGAGAAAACCTCATTAGCAATGTCGAGGCAGGGAACGAACTTGCAAACAGGAATCACAAAGAAATTAGATTTCAGTTAGATTTTCAGGGCAGACCTAAGGAAAATTCCACAAAAGTCCCAGATTTCAGAAGGGCAAACTTTGATAGTTTGAAGAGGCAGCTGAGAGAGGGGGTGTCGCACTTGGGGGTGAGCTACATGACCTGGCATGAGGTGATCTCACTCAATACACCCACAGAGGGCGACCTCACCATACCAGGACACCTGACGGTTGAGACTGACCTGATAACGAGATCTGAAATTGCCGAGTTCCACGACAATTTAAATAATGAGTTACTTAATGCACAAAGGCAGAACATACCATACAAAAAACTCAGATCAGACAACAATGACCCTAAATGGATTAATAATTATTTAAAGAACATTATTGGCCAAAGGAAGGCTATAGGTAGAAGGATTAATCATGGCGAAATTTACCTCTGGGACTATTATAAGGTATTGGCGAGTAGGGTAAAAACCGAGATAAGGAAAGCTAAGAGGAATAATGAGGTAAGGATAGCAAGGGAGGCGAAGACAAACCCCAAAGGATTCTAACAAATGTATCAAACTAAAACACGAGAAAAGATTGGACCAATACGGTCAGATACCGGCGAGCTCACTGACAACGACGGAGAAATGAGCAATAATCTGAATAAATATTTTTTAACAGTTTTCACCACCGAAAATTTAAACATGATACCCAAGGCACCGACTCTATTCAGAGATAGTGAAGAAAACAAATTAAGCGAGATAGTAGTGACTAGTAACGATGTTAGTAAGCAAATAGACAAACTAAAGCCTAATAAGTCACCTGGTCCTGATGAGATATTTGCCAGAGTATTAAAGGAATGTAAGGAAGAGCTTAGTATGCCCTTAGCAAAGTTGTTTAACATGTCCTTAAAAACAGGTGTAGTACCAGAATCCTGGAGGATAGCGAATGTAATACCGATTTTCAAGAAGGGGGATAGATCACTATCCTCTAACTACCGTCCAATCAGTCTAACATCAATAGTAGGCAAATTACTGGAAGCAATCATTTCAAACTCTATTCGAAATCACCTGGAGAAGCAACAATTGATCAATGATTCCCAGCATGGCTTCACAAGCAGGCGTTCATGTCTAACTAATCTATTAACATTCTTTTCATCAGTTTTCGAAACTGTGGACGAGGGGCACAATTATGATGTGGTTTATCTCGACTTTAGCAAAGCATTCGACAGAGTCCCCCACGAAAGACTAATTAGAAAGGTAGAAGTACATGGCATCAAAGGTAATATCCTTAAATGGATTAGGGCGTGGTTACAGGACAGGAAACAGCGAGTGAGCATTAACGTCACTAAATCCCACTGGAGCAACGTCACTAGTGGAGTTCCCCAAGGCTCACTACTTGGACCATCATTATTTATTATATACATAAACGACATAGATATCGGCATAGACAGCAACATAAGTAAATTTGCTGATGACACTAAAATAGGACGTGTTATTAAATCTGACGAAGACTCCGCAAAACTACAGGAGGATCTAAACAAATTTTTCGAATGGCCTGAAATATGGCAGATGAAATTCAACGTGGACAAATGTAAAGTACTCAGTATAGGAAATGTAAACAGGGAAACCAGTTACCAGATGAACAACGATGCCATAGAGAAATCCGACTGCGAGAGAGATTTAGGAGTAATGATAAGTAGGAACCTTAAGCCAAGTAAACAATGTGTTTTTGCTCGTAACAAGGCTAATAAAGTACTTGGGTTCATACAAAGGAGTGTTAGTTACAAGACTAGCGAGGTCATCTTCCGATTATATCTTGCGCTTGTGAGACCTCACCTGGATTACGCAGTTCAGTTCTGGTCATCGTATTACAGAATGGATATGGAATCCTTGGAAAGAATTCAGAGGAGAATGACAAGACTATTCCCAGGCATTAGGAACCTTGAGTATAGAGACAGGTTAAAGCATCTTAATTTGCACTCCCTCGAGAGACGTAGAGCGAGGAGCGACTTGATGGAGGTGTATAAATGGAAGTCAGGGCTAAACAAAGGGGACATTACAAAGGTACTCAAACTATCCAACCAGGAGCGAACTCATAACAATAGTTTTAAATTAGACAAATTTAGATTTAGGCGCGAAATAGGTAAACACTGGTTTGGAAACAGAGCAGTGGATGAATGGAACAAGTTACCAAACATCATCATTAACTCGAATACGCTGGATAGCTTCAAACATTGGTTGGATGTTTATATGAGCAATAGGGGTTGGGTGTAAACGGGACTGCCCAGTATGGGCCAATAGGCCCCCTGCAGTTTCCTCCATTGTTACGTTCTTATGTTAACTCGTCCTTGGGTGTTGACATGAGGGACCTCATGTGGTCATGGGGACACTGGGTGGTGTGGGGTTATGTGATAGTACCTCGCCCTGCTGGGTGGTGTTGTGTTATCTCAGGGGTGGGCAAAGTACGGCCCGCGGGCCACATTTGGCCCGCCAATTTATTTCTGTGGCCTGCCACTGCATTTGGCAATCAGAAAAAAAAATTCTTATTAATTACAGAAAGGAAAATTTTGGAAGTTGAGTGGACATAGCAGCAATACACATTAAGTGTGTGGCCCGCGAAGTGTGCCACCATTCATGAAGTGGCCCTCCATCAAAAATAATTGCCCACCCCTATACAGTTATCTGGTAGTCAGGTGCATAGCCGGCCGGTTCTCTGTTGTTCCCATGGTGGACTGATTAGCACTTCCTGGTCAGAAAACGGCGGTCAGTTCCCAGGGGTGCTTCTCTCAGTGGCGGGTCACTGCTCTTACTGGTACTGTCTAGTGCTGAATTCACTGGCTTAAACACTGTTCATCACTGTCCAACACTGATCCCACTTCTTTCCGAAACGAAATTGTCTCTTTTGATTATGTTGATATCCAGGTGGAGAGGATGGGTCGGGGAGAGGGACTTGAGGAATGGGGCCTAACATTGGCCAAGGGGGTCCGCTGCTCAGCAGGAGCAGCGCCTGATAGGTCTCGACCTTATGGTGGTCAAGGATGTGGGTGTGTGTGGGTGTGTGTGTGTGTTCTGAGTAACGTTTATTTTTCTGTCGCCCCCCCCCCCCACACACGTACACACTTCTTTCATCATTTCCTTTCCCTTCTCCTCCTCCTCCTTGTCCTCCCTCCTTCTCTCTTTCACTTCCTTCATCCCTATTTCCTTCAATCTCTACCCCCCTCCTTTCTTCACTCCCCTCTGTCTTCTGCCCTTCTCCCCTTTCTCACTCCTTCTCCCTTCCTCACTCCCTCCCTTCCTCACTCCCTCCCTCCCTCGCTCCCTCCCTCCCTCGCTCCTCCCTCCTCCCTTCCCTCCTCCTCCTCCTTCCTCACTCCCTCCTCCCTTCCTCACCCTCCTCCCTTCCTCTTCCCCCCTCCCTCCTCCTCCCTTCCTCCTCCTCCTCCTTTCTTCAGCCTCCTCCTCACTCCCTCCTTCCCCTCCTCCCCTCCTCCCTTCCCTCCCTCCTCCCTCCTTCCTCACTCCTCCTCCCTTCCTCCTCCTCCTCCTCACTTCTCCTCCCTTCCCTCCCTCCTCCTCCTCTCCTCCCTCCTCCTCCCTTCTCCTCCTCCCTTCCTCCTCCTTCTCCTTCCTCCTCCCTCCCTTCCCTCCTCCTCCTCCTCCTCTTCTTCACTCCTTCTCCCTTCCTCACTCCCTCCCTTCCTCACTCCTTCTCCCTTCGAGCACTATCAACCTTGCCCTCATCAGTAGCTTTAAATGCGTCGTGTTTACATCTCTCAGGTAAACGCTACATGAATGGGTATTTTCAGCAGGTATCCCTAGACAACAGCTCCTGGACCGTCCCTCAACATGAAAAAGCTAAGATGAGAGAGAGAGAGAGAGAGAGAGAGAGAGAGAGAGAGAGAGAGAGAGAGCATTCATCCCCGTCACAGTGACCCCAAACGGTGTCCAATTTCTGACAGGAACAATAATTCATAGACAGAGGAATAATCACTCCACCACACTGACTGTCTATCTCTCCTCCACCCGTCAAGGTTATAGACGGGTTGCATATCATTATAGACAAAGTGTTATACCCGTTAAGATTCCACTATCGCTACTACTATGTCTGTCATAAATCAACTATCACTCTCGGGCTGTCAATCTCCCCTCCATTTCCTTTTTCCCCTGAGATAAGATGAAATTTCCACCACGTAACACCGCCCCTCCCCCCCAGGTTAACTCTCGAGGTTGTTATATCCAGGCTACAAACCCACGTGAAGTGTATAAACTCCCCAAGTGTATAAACTCCCCAAGTGTATAAACTCCCCAAGTGTATAAACTCCCCAAGTGTATAAACTCCCCAAGTGTATAACTCCCCAGGTCTCTCCTTCCTAAGTGTATAACTCAAGTTTTATCCTCCCCAGGTGTATAACTCCCCGAATATCTCCTCCCCAAGTGTGTAACTCCCCGATTATCTCCTCCCCACGTGTATAACTCCCCAGGTCTCTCCTCCCCCAGGATACGGCGCGGCCTCTCCCAGGACGCAAGAAGGCAAGATCTTTTGTATCTTCTACGGGTTAATCGGCTGTTCCTCCGGCATTCTCTTCTTCAACCTCTTTCTTGAGCGAATCATCACCCTCCTCGCCTTCATCATGAGGTTAGTGTCTTCCTCATGCGGTCAGTGTCTTCCTCATGCGGTCAGGGTCTGAAGGCGACTATTGTAAATGTCACAAAAGAGAAAATTTACTTGTAAAATAATGAAATGGACTGTCTCACACCATCGCTTAGTGCCGTCCTTTTACGAACTGTTAATGACCTTCACGTCTAAAAGGTCAATGGTAACTGCATGACTCACTTAACTTCTTTGACCCAAGATATATCATGTTCAGGTTACCAGCAGTTAAAATGAGTTACCAGCAACAACGACGATGACTGGTCCCGGATGCAAACGATTCTAATAATGAATAAAATTTAGTAATTCGAAGACAAAATTACATAGCTCTGTAATGTATTAGACTATAACTTATAATAAGTACTTGTGAACCGTGTCAATAATAGTACAGGTGAAGGCAATGACCATAGGCGTAGCAGAGAATGCTCAGAAATGGCCATTAGTTGCCACTGTCATCAAAATGCCCGCCTCCCCCAGTTCCTTTCTATTTACCTTCTCAACTCGTCTCCATCCCCTCCAGGGCGCGACACGAACGAAAGCAGCGACAACGAGCAGCGGCTGGTGGTGTGGAAGGTGTGGTGGAGAATAACCAGCGACGAGGCTCTCAAGACTCCATGGAAGACTCCAGCCTGGACGCCTGGAAACCTTCCGTGTACTGGGTCATGTTCTACCTCACGCTCGCCTCTGTCGTCGTAGCTTTCCTCGGCGCCGTCTTGTTTATGGAGGTCAGTTGCTGCTCCTTAGTGTCTCAGGTACTTCAACTGCTAACCTCCTGAAGATTAGCCCACCCCAGCTTATTATTCCATCTGAAGATTAGCCCCACTAATGCTATCCTAACCTATCTTACTCTACCTTAACCAACCACCACCCCCCCCCCTCAGGTAGCGTTACGTTGGTTAATCATCAGGTGAATTAAGCCGAGATGGGGTGGGGATCATCTTAAGTTAACCTCACGTAACAATCAGGGAAAAAAAACAGCGTATCACCACATCCTCAAGAAATTAATATACATGAAGTAAGTTATGCAAATAAATCACTGTAGGTGCGCGTGATCCAGGTATATGCTGATAACCACAAGGAAAAAGAAACCCCTGAAGATGTTATATACCGTATTGTAAGTCATTGGTCTCCCCCCCAGGTAGAGGAATGGACCTACGCTGACTCACTCTACTTTTGCTTCATTTCCTTCGCCACCATTGGTTTTGGAGACTTTGTATCCGCTCAGGTGAGATGACATATTAGCATGTTAACATTCTACTTGTTAGTAATAGTTCAGTACTAAGGTAAACAGGGAGTATAGTTTAGTGTGTGTGTGTGTGTGTAGGTCAGCACAGCCTCTACACACTTACATGTATTGTACAGTCCTCATAACTTTCATATATATATATATATATATATATATATATATATATATATATATATATATATATATATATATATATATATATATATATATATATATATATATATATATCACACAATAACGTCCTCATTATGCTGAATCAATATCAACTTGTGTGACGTTTTTATTCAATACCTATCAATGTATGTATGTATGTATGTACAGTATGTGTGTGTACGTATGTATGTATAGTATCTATCTATTTACAGGAACCCAACGCGTTCTACGGGTCAGGATTACACACCTACCGCTTCTTCAACTTCGCCATTCTTGTTGTGGGTTGTTGTTGCATTTATTCCCTCTTCAACGTTATATCCATCACCATCAAGCAGTTTCTGAATTGCATTATTAAGGTGAGGACACGCGTGATAGTAATGACTCTCTCACGCCCCAACGACCGTATACTCCCACACCCACACGCCTCATCATCCCGGACCACGCCCATACACTCCAACAACTGTATAACTAACACCCATACACCCCAACGGCTGTATAACCCACGCCCACACGCCCTATCAGCCACATAACCCACGCCTGGTTTACCTCCCACAGAGAATCGCGTCGTGTTGCGCCCGAGGTCACTGTAAACCCACACCTCGAAGGAATGCCGTCTCTCCTTCACGGCTCCAGAAACACGCCATCAAACGTATTGAAGGGGACATCGATTCTATGTACGGATCAGAGACAGAGAGGAAACTATCAGGAGAAATGGTCTCTATGAGGGAGTACATCTCGACCAACAAGGTGAGGTTAGGTTAGGTTATGAGATTAAGTTAAGGTGAGATAAGTTTAGGTTAAGGCAAGTGAGATTAGGTTCCCTTTAACTGTGTGAGTTGAAAGTTAGGTTAGGATAGGTTACATCAGGTGAGATTAGGTGTATGTTATGAATAAGTAATATAGTAAGCAACTCAAAGTATTTTAATTCAGTTGAAATATATTTCAGTTAGTAATCATATTCTGAGGTGGGAGTGGAATCTAAAATACCGCCTGTCTTAAAGTCTGTTCTCAGAAAAAGACCGCTTATAAACACCTGTTAACACCCGGTAATTATTTTGGAAAAAATGGAAATTATAACATTTGTCAACATCAAATCACGCGTACAAAAGATGACACTCAACAAAGGAAAAGGTTGCAACACTTACATACCTGTATATATATAATTAAGAACGCCAACACTGCAGCACTCACACTATTGGTGCATAAGAAACACTGACAAGGATAATGGAGAACACACATAACCTAACCTATCGAGTGTTTGTTGTCAATAAACCATGACACGTCAGAGAGGTCCACACTTCCCAGTAAACATTGGACTCCCGCAAGGTGTGGAAGTGGAGGCCGCCCTGTTTGTTTACTGACAATATACGTCCATCACTCAGGAGCTCCAGACACGTACTGTATAACATCATCTATCATATGTAAAATAACTAGTAATTAAATATATTTTAATAGGTACATAAGAGACGTCGTTGAGGCATGTGTCTTTTGTGGTTGTATAAAACAGATGGGAAGTCAGTTGGTAATATGGACATGTGTCTTTACTTTAGAAAGAGACGTAGAAACAGCTGTTCACCTTCAAATACAGATTTTTTTTGTAAATCAACTTATTACCGACGCCTCAAGATGGTCGACAATATCTAGTGAAGACATAACTAAATGTTCCATGTTTTCTATAGACCAGTTGGATATCATCATCGTATATAAAAAAACCATTTACCTTTTACTAAAGTTTTAATATGAGCCTCGACCCTGCCACAGCCAGACAAAATATTCCTTCAAAAATTTGCAAAATAATCTAGTCAAAAACTGGTGAGTTATAAATATCATTAGAGAGTTTTCAACAATTTCTTTATTCATATGTGTAGAAATAGATGAATTTATCAACCAATAAATAAATGAGTATTATATATCTTCTCTTAACTGCATTCCACTTATCACATCACGCAGACGAACCTTCCCAGGATACAAGAACAGGTACAGTACACAGTCAGATCTTACTTCATACTGGCAACTAGTTACTGTAGTGCTGGTCTGGTCAAGGGTCCTTTTAGGCTCCAACCTAACCTAATCTAATCTAAATTTATTAGCATTGTGACCCAAAAGTAATGGTCTTAAGTGTTAATAGTTAGGTCTGGTTAAGTTGGCGCCTATTAAGACTGGGCTCCACTTATCCTCTGGGGTCCGTTTGACCAGCACCCACAATTCTCCGCGTCTGCACAAATCTCGTCCTGGTGTTGTGAGTCACGAGTAACGTCAATATCTATCCAGTAAAACTGTCATAAGTGTTGGCTCTCTACAGTTGAAATGTCCGGATTCCCTGACCCTCTGTACATAAAATCTCTCTCGATTAACTATGGTTGGGTGAAAGTATCTTATTAAAGTTGAGTTTCAGGGCAATTTGGACATCCTTTCAGCTGCCAACGTTGACATGGTTTAAGTTAACAAGTTACGGTACATCTCGGTTAGCTGAAATTTATAGCATGAACGCTTATAAGAAACCCGACCCATCATGGCTTCACCTGTGGTGGACCGGGGAGGGAGTCGCCATTCTCAGCAGATCATTACTCGATCAATATTTTGGTCTATTTTGGTCACAACATCCAGACGCAATCACTAGCACAACCCACCATAAGCGCTGCGCAGGACACGGACCACGCTGACCTGCGCAGCATTATACGCACCACTAAACAAAAAAAAACTTACCAGAAAAAGAATCCTATTTTGAATTGTCTAAACATCTCGTAGTCACACACGTGCACCACTTAAACTATAGCTACGGGAATGATCTAAAAACATGTTATCTAAACAGTAATAAATAGAAGATAAACACAGTCTCAACCACACAATAAATAATATGTACAAAAAAGAAACCGGGTCACATTATAGTCTAGTTAATGTTATTACTCGATGCTGAGCCACAGAGCGTAGGGATGGGTTGGGTAGTGGCGAGGTGGTGGTAGTGGAAAGGTCACTGGAGAACCTCGGGCGCCAACCCTAATAGGACCCAACCCTGACAGACCCCAATTATAACAGGTCCCAATCATTATAGATCCCAATCATAATAATTAGGGTAAATTAGATTGGGGTCCATTAAAATTGGGGAACATTTAACCTACAACCGTTAAGGCGAGGTGGCACCAGCATGGCGACAAGAGCGAGAGATGCACAAAACATTGACACTACTGAGACGTACGTGAGTGTGTGTGTGTGTGTGTGTGTGTGTGTGTGTGTGTGTGTGTGTGTGTGTGTGTGTGTGTGTGTGTGTGTGTGTGTGTGTGTGTGTGTGTGTGTGTGTCATGTATTCTTCACATATTGTGTTATCGGAATCTCCCTTAATAATGTACAGGTATTATCTCAGAAACATCGATTGTATATAATAACTAAATATGTTGGTACTGGAAGTTAGTTTTACTGAAGGATTTATGACATATGATGAGCTGAATTTGTTGCCACTTGTCCCATAATGCCTTATATTATTGCCAATTCATTATTTTCTTTGTGTTTTTGTAACCAGCTGGACCAGAGAACGAGGGACCTACTGCCTCCACTAACTGAAAAAGGTGCAGGATATATTTATCTCTATTTTATAACATATTTCTTCAACGTTATCCAGCAGCACCTGCCTGGATGACCACCACCACAGGAGTCGTCGTCATGAACACAGTCGACTCTTTCTTTTGTCTACCACACTATTAACACTGAGCATCTGCTTTACTTCTTATTACCATGCAACCGGCACCACACATACACACAGTCCCCCTCAGCTGGTACAAGTGGTGGTACTCGGTGCCAGGTGGCTCCTCATAATTACCTGTATGGCTCCTTCCTTCCTTCCTTCCTTCTGCTCAAATATACTGTACATACACCACCAGCCTTGGCCACAATCACTGGCCTCAGCTTTTAAACACATTCACCATCATCATCATCATCATCACTACAGTCTCGTGAAGAACAACTTGCTACAGACATCACTAATCCTGACATCAATACTTCATCACTTACATCCTTGTCACATCAACGCTTAGAATGAAACAAATAGGTACAACAAAAACTGCCAGAAATATTCTCAATCACTGAAGGTTTATTATGTAATGTAAAAAGGATTCAAAACGGACGCTGATGAAATTTTCAGTATTGACGATTTTTGCGTTACAACATCGAAGTGGTTTGATTTTGCACACGCCTCCCTGCTCATGCATGTCACCTGCACAATTCCATAATGCAACCATATGGAAATTTACGTACTCTTCCGTACCTTATTGCACCTGATGATTAAACCACATTAACGCTAACCTAACCTAACCCCCAGGTAGCGTTAAGGTGTTTGATTGCCAAGTAATATAAACAAGGGTGCTTAATCTTCATGTGATTCCTATATTGATATTTTTTTCCAAGCTGAACAGAGATTGACGGCCGCATGTTCTGTACTTCAGCCTCATTACAAAGGAAATTAAAAACAAACAAAACTATATTATACTAATAATGAACCTGATTGCCACATTAACACTTATCTTGTATGTTATTAGTTTGTAATGCTTTTTTCTCTTTTATTCTACTTATCAAATTAACTCAAAAGCTGTCTGACCACACAGTCGAGTTGTTTCCCCTAAACATAAGTAAGTTACAGCATCAACAAGTCGTAAAGTATCGCTAGATGTTAAGATCATTAGTTAACACACGGGTAACGTAACTTAACAGAGCATTAATGTTTTACCACATTTAAATTCAGTTTTAAAATGAATCTAATCTACTCGACAGATAACAAGAATATCCTGCCGCAAAGCGCAATGGTTTCAGGTTTTCTAAAAATTACTAATGACGGTCGATAATATTTACATCATACATAGAATTTCACAGTAATGGAGACAGAAACAAAATACACGTACGATAAGTATAATCACAGTTGGGGAGTGAACCCAGGTCTTCCTGTGCAAGTGGTGAGTGTGGATGCCACCATGCCATCACCATCCTCAGGTAATAGTAATGGTTGAGGATCTTCAGGCAGGATGTTAAGTGATTCTCTCGAACCTCTTATTCACTTATTCACAGGGTGACCAGGGTGACCAGGGTGACCAGGGTGATCTCTCATATAAATAATAAATTATCCTCAGTTCTGTAAGTGGTTCCATGCAGGAGTGGCTTAAAGAAATAGGCATTACATTTTCAAGTAATTCGACAAGGAACTTTGAGAAAATTAACTTTAGGCCACATTGGCGTGTCTGATCGTGGGGTAATAGTTTCATTTACATTAATCAAAACGCTACATAGACGTGAATGCTACCGAGTGTATTAAAACTAACCAACATATTACACACCAGTCCCTTCTCTACCGCGCTACCAGGCGTCCTCTGTGTTATTACTGAGCCTCTTTTCCTCCTCCTCCTACTCCTGTACAGGTCTCACTGGCGGTAATGCAGAAGCAGCTGTACGAGACGGCACAGATGAGTCGAGGTCACACGTCCTCGCCACACCCTCGGCCAGGTCACGAGGAGCGCTTTACGCCAGGACAAGTTGGCCCCCTCGCCATCGCCTCCTCCAAGCTCTGCGACCGATCTTAGCCGGGCCTCATGCCACCCTACCTAGCCTTCGTCCAGGTGCTCACAAGATCGTACGATAATTTCCTCTTTTTTTAACCTACCTGGGAGATATGAGCACGTATCTGGCCGAGATCTCTGTGGTAACATTAGTGAGTCAGTTACTCATAGTTGTTTTTTCTCACCACCAGTTAAGGGGAAATTAGACGTACGAAATTCTGAAGACCCGGGTCATGAAGCGTTCCTCCAGCCCTCGGGCAACCAACCTCCCACCTTCTCCTTTATACAGTTAAACCTTCAGGAACTTTTACTGTGTATTAAAAACTAATGTTCGAGAAACTATGTATTGAAAATAAGAGGTTGATCTATGATAAAAAAAGGGACAAATCAATGTGATTAAAAAGATAATATAGTAATAGTTCAAAATAGCCATTACAAGTTCTTCAGTACGTGAAGCTGTGATTGAATGAACCGGAGAAAATGATTGGAATGTATCGAAACATAACAAATAGTTGAACATTTAGCAACACATTTTTTTCTTTACGGTAGCAAGTGTAAATGGTTGAATAATGATCTCTTGTCAACTATGACTTATTGCAATATATCACTATCCATCAACCTATCTTTACACCTGACATACCTGAGAATATAAATTTGTAACTTACTATTGTCTTATCTGGAGGAGTTTCTCGACCAACATGTGAGTTACAGAGATGGTTGGTAACACACTTGTCCACAGGAGAAAAACACATCATTTACGTTATTGCTATAGTGATGGCTGCCTTAGGGGGAAAAGCTGAATACAGTGAAATCTTTATTTAACGGACTATATGAGAGACTGTAATCCGTTATATCGAGGCGCATTAGATATGGGATCTCCATATAATGAACAATTATCCGTTAGATTGATGTCCGTTAAATGGAGGTTTTACTGTATATATTTATTTCATAATGGTGAAGTGAACTGAGAGTGCGAAGCCTGTGTGTGTGTGTGTGTGTGTGTGTGTGTGTGTGTGTGTGTGTGTGTGTGCGTGTGTGTGTGTGTTGTGTGTGTGTGTGTATGTGTGTGTGTGTGTGTGTGTGTTACTTATAATCTATGACGAGATAAAGGATGTCTATACGTATTGTTATCTCAACCTTCATCCCAAAGATTTCTACTTTTAAAAGATAGTTAAGCACATACAGTATATCTCTCACTTGGCTGTAGCATTGGATACAGTGACGTGACATTTATCCTTGGTACGAGAGACATTTAATACCCTCTTCATATATACCTGTATATAATTTTCCCAACGTTTGAAAAATTAGACAAACATTACTAACACTGCCTCTACATGATCCACAAAAAAATGGGGAAATAAATCAATGATCTTAAAAAAAAAATGATAATAATATTTGTGTGGTAATCTGCCCCGGGAATATTTAAGGAAACTCCATTCTTAAGAGTCAATGGAGGAAAAATCTGTCAGAATTAAAATGATTAAAACAAGCATATAAAAATTTGTTTTAGTTGTTTTGTATGGAATTACACTCTCCCATACAGCCCGTTAAATAGTGTACCACCTCATCGCCTCGTCCACCTCACCTTACAGATAAAACCAAAGATGAGGCTGTTCACTTTACTGGACCATTTATTCGTTTTTATTTATTTTTCAACTAATGTAAAATAACGAATATGTACAGTACACATCTGCCTATTCCTGAAGACTGGGACCATGGTTAGTTAATTCCTCTAACAATGATTCATTGTGTTATGTAAACAAGAAAACACTGTAACAATGGGCCGTTCGCCATCCACTAAGTCCTGTCCTAACTCGTAAATTATGAACCCCGACATTCAGACTCGTGAACCCGTATGAGTGGCCACATTATTCTGTCCATAAATGCTTCGGATTCACGGGTCTGAATCTCGAGTTCATAGTTCAGGAGGAGTGACGACACGACTTTTGTGAATGACTGTATGTAGCCTCTTCATATAAGATAAATTTCCTCATTTAGTAAAGTATTCTTTTCTTTTAACACTGATTTTATCCCTTGAGTACGATGTTTTAAGTCACTGTTGTGCTGATGGTGATAACATATGTCTGTTGGTGAAGGAGGTATGTTAATAATACGGTCTTAGGTCATTATGTCGGCCATGTTTGTATCCATTAAAAACGTTATTTTCCCTCCTATATAACTTGAGCTCTGAGGACAACTGAAAATAGACCAGAAATAATACAGATTTGTAAAGAATTTTTTTACATTCAAGTGACTCATTACGGTTTTATTTTTGCGAGTAACGAGATGACAGCCGTTACCAACACCAGGTATAGAGTAACGAGATGACAGCCGCTACCAACACCAGGTATAGAGTAACGAGAGGACAGCCGTTACCAACACCAGGTATAGAGTAACGAGATGACAGCCGTTACCAACACCAGGTATAGAGTAACGAGAGGACAGCCGTTACCAACACCAGGTATAGAGTAACGAGAGGACAGCCGTTACCAACACCAGGTATAGAGTAACGAGAGGACAGCCGTTACCAGCACCAGGTATAGAGTAACAAGATGACAGCCGTTACCAACACCAGGTATTGAGTAAAAAGGTGTCAGCCGTTACCAACACCAGGTATAGAGTAACGAGATGACAGCCGTTACCAACACCAGGTATAGAGTAACAAGGTGTCAGCCGTTACCAACACCAGGTATAGAGTAAAAAGGTGTCAGCCGTTACCAACACCAGGTATAGAGTAACAAGGTGTCAGCCGTTACCAACACCAGGTATAGAGTAACAAGGTGTCAGCCGTTACCAACACCAGGTATAATCCAAACGCCAGGTTTTAGATGTATATAAAATGTTATTATATAAAAGTTTACGCCTGTTGAACACATGTAAATAAAATTCTACCTTATATAAGTCTGTCTAATATCCTTATGGTGTGTGTGTGGGTGTGTGGGTGTGGGTGTGTGTGGGGGTGTGGGTGTGTGGGTGTGGGCGGGTGTGGGGGGTGTGTGTGGGGGTGTGTGTGTGTGTGTGGGGGTGTGGGTGTGGGTGTGTGGGGGTGTGGGTGTGGGTGTGTGTGGGGTGTGTGTGTGGGGGGGGGTGTGTGTGGGTGTGTGGGTGTGTGGGTGTGTGTGTGTGTGTGGGTGTGTGGGTGTGGGGGTGTGGGTGTGTGGGTGTGTGTGGGTGTGTGGGTGTGTGTGTGTGTGTGTGTGTGTGGGTGTGTGGGGGGTGTGGGTGTGTGTGGGGTGTGTGGGTGTGTGGGGGGTGTGGGTGTGGGTGTGTGTGTGTGTGTGGTGTGGGTGTGTGTGTGTGTGTGTGGGGTGTGTGGGTGTGTGGGTGTGTGTGTGGGTGTGTGTGGTGTGTGTGTGTGTGGGTGTGTGTGTGTGTGGGGGGGGTGTGGGGGGTGTGGGTGTGTGTGTGTGTGTGTGTGTGGGTGTGTGTGGGGTGTGGGTGTGGGTGTGTGTGTGTGTGTGTGTGTGTGTGTGTGTGTGTGTGTGTGTGTGTGTGTGTGTGTGTGTGTGTGTGTGTGTGTGTGTGCGCGCGCACGCGCCACTGCCTGGGCAATACATATTTACAGAGCTCCAATCAGACCCCATGGACTACACCAGTGGATGAAGGCAATGCAAGATGGGCAGGCTACTGATGCGAAACCCAACAAACTGGCTATCTCTTATCGATAGTCGGTGTTTACCAGTGCGAGCAGAGGGCTGCTCCTTACAGCATCACTCGAGAGAGCGATCACATGGAGTCCAGGCGGCCACGCCACCCTTTAAACCATACATTTAGCGGAATCAGGACCTCTTGTCCGTAAACACCGCCCACCCCCCAATCTTTGATCGGGTAAGGCAGCAGACGCCAGTACTCACTCGTCAGTACTGACGCCAGCGGTGATAACACTCCCGACGGTGCCAGATTCTGGCGAGGTCACAGGTCCCCTGGGGGGGGGGGCATCACTCGGGAGGGCGATCTGCGTCATGATAGCCTCGACACCCTAAACTGTACATTCATCAGATTCAAGACCTCTTGTCGTAGACACCCCAGCCGCCACATCTGACGAGGCAACAGGCCGCGTGGGGTGGGGGGGATAGGGGGTGTGGGGGGGTGTCTACCGACAAGAGGTCTTGAATCAATTATTAACACCTTGTGTACGAGGTCCTCTTTGTACTGATAAAAACGTCTTATCAGAAATAATATTGAAAATATAATGATTGGGGGAGACTTTAACTGTATTACCAACATGAGAGATTGCAGCAATCATGACAACAAAGGTTTGGTGTCCAAAGCCTTAACAACTCTTATAAAGGATATAAAACTTAAGGATGTTGCCATGATACACAATTATCAACCTGAGTTTACATATGTTAGGGATAAATATGGGTCAAGAATTGATTGGCTTTATGTTTAGGGGATTGAGAACAAAAAAGTAAAATGTGATACGGTTCCAGTCAGTTTTTCAGATCATTCAATGGTTCTGTCAAAAGTAAACATTAACAAAAATGTAAAAGTAGGTAGAGGTTTCTGGAAACTGAATTGTAGTATTTTAAACTCGGATGAGGTACAGGAAAACTTTGGAGTGTTTTGGAAACATGTTAAGGAGAAAATAAACAAATACCAGAATATTTTACAGCGGTGGGAACAATGTGCTGAACCAGAATGCAAGAACTTTTTTATAAAAATATGTAAAAGAATGTCGCAAGAAAAATATGGCCTAATTAATTTATTTCAAAGTAGGTTAAAAAAAACTTTATGAAGATGCTATATACTTTGATGTGAATTATGAAGAAATAAAGGCACTGAAAACCAGAATAAATGAATTAAGGAACAAAATTTGTGAAGGTGTTAAAATAAGATCCAGAATAAAAGACAGAATGGAAGGAGAAAAGCTTTCCCACCATTTGATCTGTAAAGAAAAAAGTAATGGAAACAAGGAATTAATTACTAAGGTTAAGAGAGAAAATGGTGAAGGAATTGTGAATACAGAAGGCATACTCTATGTAATTAAAGAATTTTGGGGGAATCTATATAAAAGAGTTGAAACTAATGATGAATACTGTGAAAACTTTATAGAGAATTGCAAACTAAGACTAAAGGAATCAGAAAATGAATCTTTAATAAAACCAGTAAACGAGAAGGAAATATGGGAAGCAGTTAATAATCTCAACCTTGGTAGATCCCCAGGTAGTGATGGTCTACCTGCAGAGTTTTATAAACATATGTGGAAATTTATCAGGGTAGAGATCATGGAGGTTATTCAGTTTATCTTTAGCAATAAAGTATTAAGTGTATAACAAAATACTGGAATAATAAAGCTCGTGCCTAAAAAGGGGAATCTGAATTTAATTGAAAACTGGAGACCAATAACCCTCCTAAATGTAGATTATAAAATAGTTGCAAAAATATTGGCAAGGAGAATTAAACCTTATTTAAATTCAATATTGTCAAACGACCAATACTGTTGTATTAAAGGAAGATCAATAATAGATTGTAATATCATGGTTAGGGATACAGTGCAATTTGTTAGTAGTGAGAACCAAAAATGTGCCATGATAAACTTAGATTAGCCAAAAACATTTGACAGAGTTGATATAAAATTTGTATTTAGGGTAATGGAAAAATTAGGCATTAACAATATTGATGTAGACTGGATTAAAATGTTGTGAGGAAATTGTGAGAGTAAGGTTTTGGTTAATGGCATACAAAGTAAGTCATTCAGGGTTGAAAGATCAGTAAGACAATGATGTCCTCTTTCTATGATTCTCTATATATTTTTCCAAGAACCCTTTTATTTATCAGTAAACAGCAATGCCAGAATAACTCCCCCACAGTTACCAAACAACATAAAAATTCCCATACTGGGATATGCTGATGATTCTACAGTCTTTGTTGTCACAAACCAGTCCATAATTGAGGTTACCAGAGAAATAGAGAGATTTGAAGAAGCAACGGGTGCTATATTAAACAAAGACAAAACAAGTATTATGGGCTTGGGTGAGTGGAGGAAGAGAGATTTATGGCCTGTGCTGTGGATGAGATCAGCAGAATATTCCAGAATTTTAGGCACTATATATTATGAAGATTACGAATACACTGTTAATATGAATTGGAACAAAATCTTGGAAAATATCAGCATTACTGTAAATTGTTTATCAAACCGAAAATTATCTTTGTGCCAAAAAGCAATTATTGTGAACTAAAAAGTTTTGTCCAAGGTATGGTACCCATCCCGTACATTTCCATTAAATAAAATGTACTCACAGAAAATTGAATCATGTATTTTTAAATACATATGGAGTGGTATGTACCAGCCAATTAAAAGACAAACTCTGTATTTACCTGTCAAACAAGGTGGTATTGGCGTAGTTAATATGTTTTGTAAAGCAGCTGCTGTATTATGTACAACTTTCATAAAAATTGCTTCAGACCATGAAAATAGGAAATCTTTAACTCCATATTATACAAGTATAAGGACCAGCTATCTATTAGAAATAAAACCTACGGATAATGTTTCCTACTTGTCTCCACCTTATTATTATATTGCAAGCAATACTCTAAGAAGGTTAGCAAGGCATCATAACTTTCCAAATGTCAAGAATAAAGATGTATACAATATGTTAATGATATGGACAAAACCAGCAGTTGAAGAAAAGTATCCGCCGTTTAAGTGGCCTTTAATTTGGGAAAATATTACTTGTAAATATATGGATCCTCACCAGAGAGGCTTCATATACTATAGATATATTCATGAAACTCTACCAACAAATCAGATACTAAAACTGTTAAACATAAAACAAGATGATAGTTGTGTAAGATGTGGTGAGGTAGAATATCCATTACATGTATTTTACTTCTGTTTCCATAACAAAGAGATAATTAAATGGTTTAAAAATCTCCTGAATACAGTCTGCAATGTCAATAGCAAATTATTTCTACATTTCTTAGTGTTTAATATTAACTGTAGTGATAATAAGGATAAGAATACAATGATCATGCTGATGTCGGATTATATTTACTGTATGTGGTTAAGTAGGAAAGGAAATTATAATGTTAAGGAGACTATAGCCTTTATTAAAGGCAGGATATATTATAATAAATGGATGATCAAGTGTATTTTAAAAGAAAAGTCATCCAAATATTTCACTTACAAATATGTTAATATGTAATATGTATATGTATATGTATATGTATATGTATAGGTATATGTAAATTGCAAAATTTATAAATAATAAAAAAAAATAAAAACGTCTTGCGTTAAACAAATAACATGTCGAAAAAGCCGTCCAGGTAGTGAATGTTAGTGGAGATAGTCTATTAAGGTGGCGACCCTAAACTAACTGTTATTGCAATTAAAGTGTTCGTTAGACAGAAACATTGGTCGAGGAGCTCGTTAACTAAATTCTACACGTTTTATGAAAGAAGCACAAGTGGTGGTAGTGATTCTCCAGCTTGATAACCCTAATATATTACCTAATAATACTAACAAATCACTAATTCATTCTTATATTCCTTTTATGGCGGTACACTTACCTCTTCCTTCTTCTACTCCTGTGGTTGTGGTGACACAGTAACACTCGTTCTCACTCACACAACAATAACAGAATATTTACACCACCGCGAGTGACCGCAGCAGCAACACTTATAGTTGTGGTTTAGTTTCCTGTGTCACCCTCCCCGAAAACCGGAGATCGAGACAGAGTCGAAGCTTCATTGGAGGGAAGTGTAGCATTTGAAAGGCTCAGTCATGTCAATATTGTTGTTGTTGTTATTGTTCGCTTTGCATCTGTATTATTCTGGTTAAATAAACTGTTTTAATCTCAATTCCTGGACACTTGGAGACCGGGATGACATATTCGCCTCTGCCATTTACTTCATAATTTACATAGCAACTTGTGACCGTCAGAGTGTAGCGAG